ATAGCAAATTTGATGATGTAGCTCTAATTTAAGGTTTTTGGCTATCGCAAAACAAAGGGGTAATTACCAATTTAATGAATTTTATAAAGAATGGAAGAAGCGGTAACGATGAAATGATATAAAAGAAGTTTTTTCATTGTGATAACAATGCTTCTAAATCATCAATCAATTAATGAATGGCGAAATCTGTGTTGGTTTAGATCCAGAAAATACTTCTAAGGTAGTGACTAAAGGAACAGAGAAGTTACTGAAAACAGAAAATTTCGATGACAGTAGTCGCATTCTGAACAGAGTTACAAGACTTCAACAGTAATCACAAGAGTGTCTACAGAGTTAAAGAGAAGTATTACACAAAAAACGAAGCTACTTAAAAAAACTACATGAAAGAAAGTTTAATAGGTAAACAAATAAATATTAAACTTTTTTTTTTTTTTTTTTGTAAATTTTGATACCCTTTAGATAATAAATACTTTATTATTTCATAAATCACAATTTCATATTTTTAATTTTTTAATTTCTACATGACATCTTACTAGATTTAAAGTGATGATCTATTATCCGGAATCACCGAAATCCCGACGAGTCTGGATTTCGGACTTTGTACTGTATAAAAGAACTGTGCAGAATGCAGTTTAACCTACTGCTTGGTGATAAAATGTCTTCTGCGTAAAATGCCCACCCAAGTTCGTAACTTTTACGTTTCCATTTGAGAAGTGCAGCTAGTTGTGGCACTTACACACATTCAAACTGTACACAGGTTTGATTTAAATTTGACTGATGATTGAAAAAAATATTAATTCATTGAACTCATATGTATGTTCCATTAGCACAATGCATGTACATGTTCAAGCAGCATAATGGTTTGGTGATGATTCTCAACATTCTTTCTATTCTCTGTGTGTATAAGGTTTTAAATCCCATTATGGAAAAGATTTTTATTATGAAAGAAGCGAATGATTGTACTACAATTTGACAACTTTTTTTAATGATTTTAGAAATCTGAAGAAAGAAAGCTGTTTCAGATTGGTGATTGAAAGCAGGTTTGATAGTTCTAAATAGGAATATCTTTGTGTGAACAAAACGGATAAATTTATTAATATGAATGGCTTTGTCAAAAGCAAGGTAGTGTGAACCCATGTAATGTTTGCAGGAAACTGAGGAATGGTTCATAGTTTAAAGCACAGTCATTTCAGTATTTAGGGTATTTTACAGATTACAAGATATCGGTTTGGAAGGTATTCGAAGGAGTTGTTATGAATGAGGTGAACATTCAAGAACATGCTGTTGTTGGCTGGTTTATGTTTTGCAGAGAGGTATGCCGGATGGCCATGATTAATGACAGTGTTCTTGGCAGGAAAAAAGTGATTGTTAAAATTCGATGAAATATGGAAAGGATAGATGGACACCGAGTTGTTGGTGGAATTGAAAAGAAATCGAATAGATTTCTCTAGGGAGATTGAAGGAAGAACAAAAAAGAACTGAGTATCTTGGTACTGCTAAAGATCATCTTAATAACGGATTGCTAGAAAGCATATAGTTTTCTCCCAGAAAAAAGGATATGTACATCTGTGCATCAATCACAATTTGACATTAAAAAATTTTAAGTGGGGGTACATACCCTTTTAATTGAAACGACTTGGTCAGCAGTGAAATGTATTCTCCAAAATAAATCAGAATGTGAATTTGATTCTTATTTGGGGTATTATATGTGGAGAAGACTCCACAACCATTGAACAATAAACGAAGCTTTTTGGCATACAAGTCTGACATTATCAAGCTTTATTCACCACTGGAAAAAAGATGAATACAAAGGGAAGTAAGAAATCTTGTAATTTCTGTACTGTATCCCCCTTTTCTGCCCATTTCCTAGCAGTCTCCTAGAATTATAAATCTTCTGAGGAAACTGTATAGATGCACACACTAGTTTTCCTTAGAAAGTCCTCCATGAAGGTATCCTTTCCCTGGAGTAGATATTCCTTGAATACTTCCATATTCTAAATAAACAAATCCAATTCTTGTAAAATGCACAGAAAGAACAGTATGGAATTCATTAACTTGTTTGCTCTCGACATCAAGCAACCTAACTCTCCCAATGCACCTGTGACATTGGAGCATTGAACATTATTGTGTCGAGTTCATTTTACAAGCTTAGCATGCAGAAATAATTCCTATGAAACCTGTTTTTTACCTAAATTTTAGGAATTCTGCATATTTTATTTAAATGCTATTTCTTATAACATATATAGAAAATCCTATCGCTTAAAATTAAAATCAAAATTCAGAATATGTTAAAGTGCAATATTAGTAATGATGATTATACTCTCAAAATTAAATTATTTCTGTAAAATAATGAAATAAGAACTTAAGAATTTAAATATCAGTGCTTATTTAAACTACTGCCATAATTACCTACAAGAAGTTTAAGCTGCTTACATTGCGTGAAACCTTTCTAAAGTGTGAATGCACATTGTTACCATCATGCATTTCACTTTCATAGAATAATAAATAATAATCTTCACACCATTACAAACAATCTAGAAATTCTGTTTAGTAAATAGAAAACTTTCATAGCATTCTCACATAATTTATGCACAATTTAAAATGTTTCATTTCAGCGCATCAAACATGATACTTTGGGCACACAATGGAAAGCAACCATATCATACACAGAGGGTGTTTACACATTTTAGAAACAGTTTCGATAAAGAATTAAGAAACAGTGCATGTTTCAGAATAAATCTTTCCAGAAACAGCTTATTATTTGAAATGAAAAATATCAGCTTTTAAATTTATTCTCCTTTCAAAATGTCACTTGTGAGGAAGCTGTGTATCGAAGAATATGAGTTTGCGCTTTCTGAAGAGAAATATTCCCATTCATAATTCAAAAATGTTGTGAAACAAATAATTTTTTAATTTTGAAATGCAAAATAAGCAACATTATTAATCAGAAAGGGAAAAACTGTCAATCATTACTTCTACGTGGAAAGAAGACTCCAAATGAATATCTGAAAAAGGTACATAGTGTTTCTAATGTTAAATCGTTCATAATAAAAGAAAATACGCCAACACAAAAATCAATTGCTAAGTCTTTAAATACATCTGTAATAACAATAAATAAAATAATAATCCAAGATTTACAACTTAAAAAATTAAGAAAGCTCACCAGGGTTTGCCAAGACATGTGGCTAAACACACAACGATTTGTAGAAGCCTGTATGATGCATGAAAACTATTTAGCAGGAGATAAATGGAAATACATTGAGAGCTTTGATGAAGCACAGATTTGTGTAAATGAGTGCAACAAAAAAGATCTATTTACTATCGAAAATGGAAGGGAAAAAAAAAAGTACAAATTTGGTTTCATCAATGCAAAAGAAAGTAAGGAATTTGTCATTGTTGCAGGATTCTCTTACAGTGGGAAATTAAAAATAAGAAAAGAAAGTGTGGGGGGGGCGAGGGGATGTTAAAATCAACTCGACATATTCCGTAGAGAAAGATTAAAGTCCGATATCTAAGGAAGAAATTCTATTTATATATTCCTATGACTTTCAAAGAGTAAAACTTCATAATTAGAAAACAACAAATTATACTTGGAACAATAACACTGCATTCCTTGAAAAAATGAAGACTGATACAGGTACTGGATATATACCTTTCCAACATATTCCTGCAAAGTCTTCTGTGGTTTCACCTATGGACTACTGTATCTTTGGTCTCTCGAAAAAAGCTCTTTCTATTTGTAAACCCACCATGACTGATGAAATCTGGAAAGCAGTGGAAGAGGAATGGAAATCAATAACCCTAAAAATATATAAAAAGTCATTCTATCAAGGAAATCATGATGCAGACTTATAGTCCAGAAAAAAGGCTATCACATTGAACATTTAAAAACGTACCCTTTACATTTTCAGCATTAACTAAATGACCTCAAAATCATTTTAAAAATGTATAAACACACTTTATATGACATGCAGGGAGAGAAAAGATTAATGGTTTGGTTTATTTGATTATGGTAAAGTATGTGAGAGCTCTCCACCTAAGAGGAAGGATGACTTTGTAGAGGGCTTTCTAAGAGAAACTGGCGCATACCCACATTACACATGGGAAAAACCATAAAAACAGCCATGCATCTGGCTCGTTTATCTGGAACCAAACCAAGGTCAAACTAAGAGCATTCAGTGGCTTTACCACTCAGCCACTGGTGGGCTAGAATTCATTAAATGAGATATATATAAATGCTTAGTTGAATATCATTTAACTTATTTACAGTTTAAAAAGTAATTTTATATTTATGATTTTACATTTCTCTTTGAAAAATTATTACAAAAATATAATTCTTTTTTGTGCCAAAAAATTATACATGCAAGCATAATTTCTATTATCCGAATTTATAAACTAGTTTTCAGATTTTTTTTATTTCATTTACGCAACAACAATGAAGTAATTTATATCACCTAAAGACAAGAAATAAATTGGTACTTAAACAGCATACAAAAATTAAATAGCATGTTGTATAATGTGATTAGCAAATTTTTCTTCCCACTTCCCTCATCTTTTAAAATTAATGATCATATATGAAGCATTAAAAGAGATACATATGGAAGGATTGACATTATGAGCAATGTGGCATCTTAAGAGCCATGCTTTCTGAAAACAAGGAAATTGATAAATTTAGATCTGCCTGTTTTAAATAATTATTAAGGATAAAAATAACTCTAAACCTTCTTGGAAGACTTTCTAACGGAAACTGGCTCGTATTCAAATTACTCATGGGGAAACAATGAAACCACACATGCAGCCAGCCCATTCACCTGCATTTGAACTACTAGTGTTCAGCAACTTTATTGCTCGACCACTGATGTGCCAGCAAGAACTTCAGATAATAATGAACAAATGTTGCATTTTTATACCAAAATTCCATAAAAGAAAGTTATTTTACATTTGTTTTATGTATTTGTCAACTGGACTCTTATACTTTCAAATAAAGTAACATATACCAGTTTTATACTGAGAATTTATTTTTATTACTGGAAACCAGCACAATAATAATAATAATTTGAATTGCAAGAAAAATCAAACTAATTCTTTCTACATAAGTATTGTCAAATATTACCAAATTATTCCATTTCACTGGAAAAAATAATGATTTATGTGAAACTGGCATTTGATAATGAGCACTTCTTTAATTTAAATAATGGATTTCATTTAACATTTTGTTACATATTTATAGTGCTTTCTGTGATTGTTCTATAATTAGAAATTCATTTCATCCAAGCAGTTAAAATGAAAAGAAAATTTTCCAACATAGTACACTGGGATGATAACACCTGAATGTAAACAAACCTACTCTATGCATCTTTGAAAGACACACGATTCTTCATAGACAATGACAATGCCTGTTCTAGGTAACTGTATCATGTGTCCGATACTGTAATTCAACAATGGAGAATACCGAATGTGCTAACCATTGCTCAGACTGTGAGTTACCGCCGATATATGGATTATTTTACATGAGCTAATCAGCTGCTGCTCAATAAGGGGGTTAGCAGGAGCAAAACTAGGCATCCATCTGTTTGTCTGCCTGCATTATAGTTTCATTCATGCTTGCATGCTAATACATGCATTCTTGTACGGTTTTGTTTGATATTAAAGTTATGTGTGAAGATGATTACTGATTTATTTTACTAAGCAAATTAGTTCTCTTTCAGTATAGTACAGCATCTGTAGTGACCTAGTACACTACAGTGGAGTACCCATGTACTACATGCTAATATTAGATAATTGTGTATCCACAATATAGAGGTGTTTTATTTAGTGGAATTAAGATTCAGCATGCTTTATTATGAACAAAATTTCTACTTTATATTCATGAAGCATTAAGCATGTGCTACTCTCAGAATCTAATTCTTTCTCCCCACTGTCAAAAAATTTCTTTAAAAAAAAAGCTGACGGTTGGTATTAGATCATTCTTGATACTGGACATCCGGATTTCAGATTTCGTACTGCATTGTCTGACATGAAGCTCTTTATATTTAGTATTTTTGAAAAAGATTAGGTACTGGGTTTTTATAATTATTGTTATCGTTTACATTTCCTTAATTTACAGATTTGGATGATGATGTATTTTACTATTTTGTTGAATTTAAGAAATAAAAATAACAATAAGTAATAGAATCAGTTATGAATATATTTAAATATCATATAAAATATGATTAAATCCATTATTATGCAGTTATTGAACAGAAACATTAAAAAAAGCATAATTCTGGTCACTGTAAATGATACGTATACACATATATTTTTATTAAAATAATTATTTACAAAAATTGCATTTTCAGTATGCTGATTATTATTATAAAAATATAAATGTAAATTTTTATTTATGAGAAGTTTAATTTCACTTAAAAATATTCACATCACTTTTAAACTTTTCTTTTAGCCATTCATGGTACTTCTCTAACATGTGATCTTTAGGCTGAACCTATTAAAGACAAAACAGATTAATCATTGTATCAAGCTACTAATAAAAGAAATAATAATAATAAAGATTAACATGTGATCTTTAGGTTGAACCTATTAAAGAGAAACATATTATTAAAAATGTAGTTAAATTGCATTCAATAGTGGTCAAAATGGATATTTTCATTGATACCTGGAATGTTTCGTGATTACAATAGTTCCTTTTTACAAAGAAGTAAAAAGACCATTTGGTTGTTTTCAAAATGAAAGAAAAATTTATTCAAAATATTTTCTACAACATTCTCCCATCTGCCAGGCAATAAATGTATTCTGTGAAGGAAGAAGTCTACTTGTTTGGAAAGCCACAAATTTAGCCATAAAGCCATTTTTTAATATCCTCATATGAACTGAATTACCTTAAAGATGGGAAGCCCAAGCAAAGTGCTTACAGAGTTTCCTTGACTAGCCTTGAAACATGAGAGATAGCGGAAAAAAAGCTTGTTATCTCTTACGGTATAGTTTGGATAATATTACTTAAATGTTTTGTAATTGTATTTTATAACATCTGCATTGATAGTTGCAAAACTCAGTTTGCAAGAGCTCACAGCACCCTTATGGTCACACCAAATAAATTTGCTTCCATGAGCACTCTGTTTTGTTGATGATGGACCTTATTCATCCAGATGCACCCAAATCTCTGGTAATTACAGATTGTTGTAATATAATATATTATTAACCTTCAGGAACTGTTATTTGTACCTTCAGGAACTGTTTGACACAAAAAATCTTTTCTTTTTCATCTTTGATGGAACAATACAAAATATGATTTTTCGATGCTCAGAGGGCCTTTCTTTGACTTCCTACCGAACCCAAATATCCTTGTTTTTGAACTATTTCTACTGCATGCAGATGTTGAGAAATTGCACGGTCAAGTAACATTAAAGCAGCAGTCAATTTGAATTGTTCTTGACAAGGATCTCTATAAAAAGTGCTTCCAATTTTTAATCTTGAAAATTATTTTGTTTTTCCATGCTGTTTGTCATGCATATTAAAATCAATAATTTTGGAACTGCTGAAAAACTCTGCTAGCTATATTAATTGCACATCTTTCTTCATCATAAATTTCTAACAGCAAACAGTGTACATTTCTGTTTCTTGGCATATAACAAACATTTTTAATGCGGTAAAAATAATTACGGCTTACACATAAAACAGATGAATCATACTAATTATTAAAGGTTGCTATCAAACCTTTCAAATACAAGCATTCCCAGATTCAGCTGCATGTAAGCCATACTATTTACAGTAACCATTAAAAAAGGCTAGAATCATTATTATACACCCAATATTTACTTATTTTTTATGATTCACCGATTTACATTTCCATAATAATGATTGCGATACTTTAAACTAATATTAAAGTGAACCCTTCCGAAAAGTCCAGATGATATTTGGCTCTCTATGAAGGTGGTTGCTCAAGAGTGGTGATTTTTCAGTATTAACATTCACTTATGTTCTCAGAAATACAGATCATCTTCAGAGATAATAGTCTTAAAGAGGTCCATAATGAAAAATTTGGGAGAATTCCGATGTTAATATGAAAGAATGAAAAATATTAGCACAAATGCAGGAGTTTCCAGGAAATATGCGAAAGTTGGACATTTCAGATGCTACTTCCATTTATATGAGTTACATATTTTTCACATCAATTTGTTTTTGTGTTATTTTAAATTTTATTATGTGTTTTGTATGGTGTAATAAATTTCATTGGAGATCTGGGAAAGGTTCAAAGTGTTCTTCATAAAATTTGTAGGTACCTACTTCTTTCTTTTATATAATTTTGGCTTACTAAGGTTTTTCACTAAATGGGAAAAACCTATATTTTGTTTGCATAGAACATCTTAAGAGAATACAAGGTAACCAAAAAAGTTCTTGCCATTTCTGACATGACATTGGAAGAGTGAACCCCAACATAAAAATAGTCCCTAAACCTGGTGATTAAGTGGTTAGGATGGGAGTCCGGACATTGACCAAAAGTATAAAAGTGCGTTGCATCGTTACTTCAAACATAACTCACACAGTGACTGATTGAAATGGACGGATGAAAGATGCTCGTATGGAGTTGTTTGCTGTATCATTTTAAAGTGGGCCTGTCATGAGCAGAATCAAGTTGCTGAATTTCCCAGACCTTTCGGGATGATGCCATTAACGAATGAACCGCTAGGCAATGGTTCCAGAAGTTCAGGTCAGGAGATATGTCTCTTAGTGATGTACCACACAGTGGTCTACCACAAGTGCTGGACGATGAGGCCCTGAATGCAGCCATAGAGAGTGACAGTAGCGAACATGTAGTGAGCTTGCTGCACACTTCCAGGTATCTGATGAAATGATCAGGCTCCATTTACACCGCATAAGAAAGGCATACAAGCTAAGCAAGTGGTTACCCCACTCACTGGCTGATGCAAACAAGCAACAGCTTGTCGCTGCCTGTTTGTTATTGCTTACTCGACACCGCAGTGCATCCATATTTAATCAAGTACTCACCAGCGATGAAAAGTGGGTTCAGTATGACACACCCAGGTGTTTCAGACATTGGTTGTCACCATGGGACCCTGTGCCTCACAATGCAAGACCTTCTCTCCACCCATGCAAGATCATGCTCTGTATCTAGTGGGCTAGTTGCCAAGTGGTGCACTATGAGGTCTTGCCAGTGGGTCAAACCATCATGGCAGGCCTGTAGTCATAGAAGTTAGAACATGTCCATCAGGCACTGATGCATAAAGAGCCAGCATTGGTCAATTGTATGGGTGTACTCCTCCTCCATGACAATGCGAGGCTACACGTGGCTCGGAAGGCCAGGGACACCATCCAGCGACTGAGCTGGGGACACTACCCTATCCACCATACTCCCAAGACCTCGCGCCAACAGACTACCACCTTTTCCATTCCTTGGACAACCATCTTTATGGGAAATCCTTCAACAACCAGCCAGACCTCGCAAAGTCCCTCACGGACTTCCTTGCATCCAAGACTCTTGAGTTTTACCACAATGGCATTGCACAGCTAGCCACTTGTTGGCAAAAGCTATCAAAAGACACCAAATGCCGATGGTGATTACTTTAAGGATGAGTGGTGATTATTATTTGTTTTATGACTTTTTCTTTCTGACTCTCCAAAATAGCAAGAACTTTTTTGGTTACCTTGTATTTTAATATTATACATCAATGAGTTCTGCATGCCAGAAATGAATGCTATTAAACCTTTCAAATAATATTAAAAATTCATTCAATATAGCACTAATTTTCTAATTATGCAGACAGTTTATGCAACCATAAAAGTACCTTGTACAAAATCATAAAACCGGAGCTTCATATTTTGCATAATAACTTATCGGTAAAAGTATGGTTTAAAAGTAAAAAAAAAATCAGAAACATAAAAGATTGTTGTTGAGAACAATTAAAAAAAAAAACTATGACATAAATACAGATATCTTACTTGTTTCCATTCATTTACGCAAAAAATTCTGTATGAATCATTGCCATATTTTCCAATGCCATGGAGTTCTATTGGGTACTTCCATTTTTTATTTATATAATCATCTGTAAAAGAAACAATGGCAAAATAGTGCTACAAAATTATCATCATACGTTAAATCATATGTTAGAATGATTACACTTTATCCAAACTCATTTAATTAATTTCTCAATGTCACTGTAATATAATTAAATCAAAAGCAACACATTGAATAGGTGATTATAAATCAATCACTACTTCAAAGAGAAAGAATAGCTGCTATACATCATGTGATAGCCATAAAATGATTAGTAGCCATATTAAAAAAAAAAAAAAAAAAAAAAAAAAAAATTGTCCATAGTTTGCAAAAACATTAAAAATGATAAATATTATTATTACTCTTTTACACTTTCTACAAATAAATAATCATAAACTTTCAAAATATTTTGTGTATTTTAATATAGATTTTAAGTTTACAACAGATAAGTCAGGTTCCATGTTTTCCATTTAATCTAAACCAGTGGTCCCAAACTCAAGTTGCAAGCAAGCCGAATGTGCAATCTCAAAGCACCTGAGGATCCATTTTTTTGTTTGTTTGTTTGCAAAGTGAAGGTAAATTTACATACATATAGAGCTAGATATAGTATGTGTCTACATAGATAGATAGATTGTGACGTACATGCTCCTAATGTACAGCTTTTACCCTTTTATAGCTTAATGTTACATGCAACACGTGCATGCAGTGTATTGCACATAAATTTATATGTTTGGAAATTATATTTTTATAATTTAATTTTCTCCAAACATGCTTTAATTGAAATTTATTTCAATAATATTAGATTGTATTTTTTACAAAGTTCTCTATACTTACTTTTTAATACCTTATATATTTTATACTTACAAACATATCACTTTATTCTTGTCTCCCTGGCTAAAATTATGAGATCCTTTCTTTCAGTTAAATTACTTTTTCTATTTTATTAAGTGCCTACCTCTTACACATATTTATTAAAACATAATGCACAATAATATTACAGCAGAAAATATTCAAATTTATTTTCCATCTGAAATCTAGATTTTACAAGAAATTTCTTTTAATTCAAACTTAGTGCCAGCTAAATGTTAAATTTTCAAAATGATATTTATTTTAAATAAATAATAATATGTTGAATTAACCACTAAGTAACTTCCTTAAACTAAAAATAAATAAACTTTAGAAAACTTTTGAGGTGGGGGAAAAAATATGAGAGTAAATAACGACAACCTTCTTTTGTTTCAACACATGCAGGAAAAAATGCATACTTTGTACATAAACAATTACAAGCTTCTGTATTTCTGATAACAACTTGACGCTTCATGGCATTAAGATTCCGACAAAGTTAGTAACTTTGGAAAAAAATTACTAGAAACTGTCTTCATCATGGTTGTAGGTGCTTATTGGTCAATCAGGCTCTTTCATTAGATTTATTAATTTTCAACTACAAAAAACACTATTCACATATAATCCCAAACAATATGATAATTCTTAAACAAAACTTTGTAACTAGAGGTACTGATCTTTCAACAAGTATGAATATAAGGTGATCAGATCTATACCTTCAAATCCTTGAATAAGATTTGTACCACACTAGTAAATTAATCTGCTTCATCATCAGATTATCTGATACATTATTCACGTTCAGTTTAATAGTAATATAAATAACGTAAAATTGGGCTATAAAGCATTAAACCCAATACATCTTTCTTGATATCTTTTCATAATAATGCTAGTTCTCTGGCATATTTTTGTGATTTTTCATTTGAAATAATAAGGCAGAATTTAAGGTGTAGTAAATGAGCAAAATATTTGCATTATTTTCCCCATAATTGCAATTTAAAAGGATTTAACATAAGCCAACATGTCAATGAACAGTTTATTTGGTACTGTTTTGTTATAAGGATTAAGATATCGCCAAAAGCTGACAATCTGACAAAAAATTCGAAGCATAAAAATAATTGCCAATATATTTATGATACAGTAAAGAAAAATCCAAGGGGGAAAATAACATACCAAATATTCGTATATTTAGAAAATTTTAATGTAAACTGGGGGGGGAAGAAGAGGAACAAATTTAGTTAGCAAATTAAGAAATAACGCAAAGGCATGAAACTGTGGATATAATTAAAAATATTTGAAAACATTTGCGAATCAGACACTCCTGCATCCACATAATTAAATAAGAATCTATATGGTTACAGTCAGTGCCACGTTGAAGTTTATTTCAACATTCCACATTAGCCCATAACCTTTCATTTGTTTGGTATGATAGTTTGGGTATGATAACCAATATCAGTATCGATAAAATTATATTTAAGGTTAACGCAGAAATGTTCAAATCCAGCCTCTTTTTATTCTTCTTTGTTATACCCTTAACAGTCTAAGTATATTATGGTGCCATCAACAATATTTTCTCCAATAACTTTAAGCAAAATTCTGGCACAGCAACTGGAAAACATTTTTTTGCCTCTCAGCAAATACTACTGCACAACCACTGCAGCGAATGAATACCACCAACGTTGTTTTCTTAACATGAACTGAAATTCATTCTACACTCCATGCATAAATCAAACAAACTGCTGTTAAGAAACTGACTCTTGATCCTTCAAAGCAGTTTTATGAGCATAATCTTTTTTTTTTTTTTTCCCTTTGTGCCATATCTTCACATCTCAATTTCGCTAGTCCTTCAGAACATTCACTTTATAGATTTTCATGTACTTTCTTTCAGAGCAAATAATTCCTCGATCCTGGAGAAATTGTATGATAGGTGTTTCATCAATAGATAAGTCCCAAACTTCCGTATCCATTGTAAATACAATAATAATAAAACACAAGTGACCATTATATCTTTAGAATTATTATTCTCGTATTGACAATTGTGAAAAGGCATTGTTTTCTCCGGTTCTGATAACAGAACAGTACCATTTTTCCTTTCCTTTCTCTAATGAAACTATTTAAATGTCTGATTAAGTCATGCCAAATCTATTATCCATGCATCATTATTACAACTTGTCTATAGTTTTATTTATTTATGCGTCATGAAAATTTTGATTTCATTTATTAAATCAAACAATTGTTTTAATACAGCTCGTTGACATAACTACATTACCTCATTATATTATATAATTTCTCTTTACTCACTTTCAGTTTCTTCAGGCAATACCAAAAATTCAATGATTTAGAGTTCATACATGGAAGAAATTTACTGTTTTAGTCATTATTTCAATAACGGTATCTGAAAATGTTTGGTACAATATTTACAACAACTTAATTAAAATATATTTGTAGGCTGCCAGTTTCAGACCTCTAATGTAAATTAAATCTTTCATGATTAGAAAATTGCTTTTAGCTATTTGTTCGAGTACAGGTAAAAAATAATGAAGAGTAGAATTGAAACACAAATCAATTCTACTCTTTCCAAATTATGGGAAAAAAAAACAACCAGTCAATCTGAAGGTGAAAATCTATATTTGTCTACTCTGTGCTCATGCATACCTGGGTTGCCATAGAAGTATATTTTGGCAATGTCAGGTTGCCTTTTGGCACCACTGTTAGTTCCCTCACAAATGCTTTTCAGGGCGATGTGGGTAATCAGAAAAAAGCAAATCTAAGCAACTAAAATCAACCTTTGGAAAAATTACACTATTAAAAAAAAATGTTTTTATAACTTTCTGATATCTATTTGACTGTGCATCATTGTAGTGACACTATGCATTTTTACACTGCAGTGTTATGAGCCCAAGGATACTATGTAAAGGCCAAAGAAGGCTATGACATAATATAATTGTTGCACAGTGATATTTGCATTCTCAAAAAATGGAAAATATTTTTGTTCATTTCTAAAAAAAGGATCCATGCTAGACTCCCTAGAAGTGCACACATCCTCCCCTTAAAACCAACATTAATCTAATGCTGAATTTTTAATGATTTTATAGTTATTTAAAAATGTATATAAATTAATGCTACTGAATAGTTTCCTATGATTTTGAAAAGGAAAATAAATAAGAAATAAACTACACACAAGACAGAAAATGTAACATGTAATCTTTTAAATTAAAAAATTACAGTCTTATTGAAACCATTTACAAAATATTTTCATTAAAAAGTATTCATACTGAAATATAACTAACCAGAAAATCTTAAAATAATTTTAGCTTTTTTATCTTGCAATCCCAGTGTCTGCAAACACTTTGAAATTTCTGATGGTTGTGCTTGCAATAAAATATTTGGAGTTGGATATTTCTTAAAAAAATCAGACAGCACCTTTTTAACTGATCCACCTGAAAGAAGGGGTAAAATTTAAAAAAAAAAAAAAAGTCAGACATGAAAACATAAGAATTTTAGTTGATACAGACGAAATTAAATTTTTAATTCAATATATATTTAAACTAGTATTCAAAGAAATACAATTAAATAATATGGTATCAGAGAGAAAGACCTGATTTTGAAATTTTAATTACAAAAAGCAAATACGAAAATTACAATTTAAAAAGACGTAATTCAATTTTTTTTAATTAGTTAAATTTAAAAAGCTTAAAATATTAAACATATGCAAATAATAAACAGTCTGATAGTTTACAAATTATAAAATAAGCATTTAAAAAATGTTACTGATACAAGTTTAATTGCACAATTTTTTTATATTTTTAAATTTTTTACCTGCTGTTTTTTGCAGACATATTGTTGCAATTAGCATTTTCCAAGGATCATGATATAAATCTTCTTGAATTAAGTTGAAAGGAGACCTAGGAGGAATCCATTTGTTGCCTGATCTAAAATAATTAGGTACCTCTTTCTCTAAACACATTTTCTTTTTAAAATAAGGACTCGATTTTTTCTGAATTAAGACTTCAGATTTGCATTCTGAAAATATCGATAAAGTGAAAATCACAAAATTCATAATTCCTATACTTAGTAGTATTTCAATATTTATCTAAATATATAAATAAAATTAATGTCAGATTATTATGCATAATTCATGTAAATATATCTTGGTCACATTATTAATGAAATCTGTGCTTGAAAAAGTTTATAAATTTGTTTTTCTTAATTTTATACAGAAAAATGCTTGTTTTTTAAATATTGGGTCATATAAAATGTCTCTGTGCTTTTTTGGTACTTTTTTGAGAAAAATTTTCTTTATTGAAAATTAATTTTAATCAAGTACATATTGATAATTATTATCTATGACCTTTTGCCATTTTTCGAGGGTAGCTTCATAATTCCATCAGTGTAGAACTTCTGTGGTTTATCGTCAAAAAACTTGGGCGAGTGATTTTCAGTGGCTCTTCAGTCGGGCAATTTTTCACCATCAAGAGAGTTTTGCAGAGACCGAAGAAAATGGTAGTCAGACAGTACAAGGTTCAGGCTATATGGTGGTTGCATCAAAAATTCCTAACCAAGTTCTGTCAATTTGTTCATCAAAGATGTGTGTGGCTGTGAATTTTCATCATGGAACACAACTCCCTTTCTTTTGGCCAATTCTGGTCGCTCTTTCTGTATTGCTTCATTCAAACGGTCAAGTTATGCACAGCATAGGCCGAATTGATGGTTTTGCTAGGTTGCAATTTATGTGGCACCCAAACATTGAGATTCTTTTTGTAACCTTCTCTTTACAAATGATTCCAAACTATCATGAGGTTGACGTTTAGTGCCTCTATTATTTCTTAACAGCTCACGTGCTGGTCTTGCTCTACCAGTTGCAAAACTTCATCAACTTTTTCAGTGACTGGCCAACCAGAGCGAGGTGCATCTTTGATATCAAAATTTCTGAAACGGAATCGAGCAAACCACTCCTGGATCCTTCGTTCACTCACAGCATTCTCACCATACATTTCACAAATTTTTCGGCATGTTTTTGCAGCCTTTTTACCTTTTTTATAGTAAAAAAGCATCACATAACGTATTTCTTCAGATATTTTCAAATCAATATAACTTTTTACGCAAGCAATGAATTAGAAAACTATTTTCACAAACAATGGAAGCTGAATGTCACCTTTTAAACACATGCTTGTTTGAGACAATCAGGTGAGTGTTGCCGGATATATAGGCATCAACACCATCTAGTGGCAAAAAAGTGCAGAGACATTTTATATGACCCAAAAATTCCCATGATTAAACCTGCTGAACAGTATTTAATCAGCACATCATAAAAAAGAATAATTTCAGTAACCATATATTTCCTACTGGTGCTCGTATTGAATGCAGAAAATACAATGCTTGTGTGTTGATTTTAAAAACCTTAATAAAAAATTGCTGAATGAATGCCATGTCTTGTATATATAAAAGTCCATATGAAGCCTTCATTTTGCAACTATTGGTCATAGACATATATTTCCAGTTACAAAAATACTTTTAATAAGGAAAACATTCCTGTTTCAGAATTTTTAAATTTTAAAAATAAATTTTTTATACGACTTCTGGTCTCTACAGTTGTATATCGGGGGGGGGGGGGGCATATTGTGGTTCATGACCCATATATGGCTCTTGAAGGTTCAGGATCATGCATGCATGAAATGTAAAACTACTCAATGTACAAACATAAGTGATTAATTTGTTTCATTTTTCACAACGTTATTAGTAAAATTAAACTAATTAATGTCCAAACATAATTGTTTTATGTAATTTTTTGTTTTTTTGTTAGTTAAGAAACTTAATATTGTTATTAAAAAAATAAAAAAGATATATATATATATATATATATATATATATATATAACAATTTTGTAAAGAAAATCTTTACACATTAGATATATTTCTGAATGCTTTACAAGTGGATTCTTTACAAGATGGATCTACCAAATTTCTGAATCTCTAGTAGCAACAGAAACTAAACTGGGGTAGTTAGTGAGCGGAATAGAAAACTCACCTAATGCATCAGAAACATTAAAAATCTTAGAGAGTTTGGTAAAAGTTAAAAACAATTCATAAGTTGATTTAATGTCCGAATTGACAAGAAATTTATGACAAATGGAAGTTTTATGAGTTTTTAAAAAATCTGATGACAGTCATAGCTTAGAAGATGTTACCTTTACAAAATTTTGCAAATCCTTAAAATTTGAGGACAAGAGATATATGGCTTTTTTGAAACAAGCATGCAGGAGAATATGGGATACTTTTAAGGTAGCAGACAAATCATTTAATTTGCTGTAGTGCAGATTTAACAAGAATCCAATGTTTCATTAGTATTACAAAGCTGTGATAGATCAAAAGTTATAAGAAAATAACTCAGAATATTTAAGAAATGAGAAACAATACTTTTTATAGCATCAAGCTGTAATTATAGAAAACCAAGGCATCACAAAATTTTACATTGTTTTTGACGCGTCATCACATGCTAAAGGTAAACTGTCATTGAATAATTATTTAGAACAAGATGTCTCCCCCCCCCCACAATTTACAATTTTCAAAATTATGTAAATTTCGACTTGTAGATTTTAGAAAATCTAGTTATAGCTCTTCAGCTTTCACGAATTCCAACATACATGCAAAGTGTGCAATTATCCAGTATTGATGCTCACCAAGAGTAGGTTTTGGTTAAAGTTAGAAAGGTTTCAGCTTTCAAAATTTTGAGTTCAAGTTCTGAATTAGCTATGCCATCAGCATTATGCAAGCCATGTGACATAGACTGATCTAGAAATGACACAGTCCAGAAAAATTTATTACTATTTTTAGAACACAGAGAGAGAATTAAGGTGTTGCTGCTAGTTAAAATTATAATTTTGATTTCTGATAATCATAATTACGTATATTTATCTTACATAGATCAAAACTACTATGTTTTTATCGCAATTAGACGGTAGGACTGGACCAGACGCTAGAAACCTCAATGGAAAATTTATTCCCTAATTGGATTTTGATAAAATATCTAAAAGTCAAATAAATGTGCATGCTTATCTACACAGTCTAATGTCCAGTGAAAGTGAAGTTTAGAATTCATTTTTGCTATTTCTACAATATTTAGAAGGGAGAAGTGTGTTTTAAATCGTTAATGATTTAATGATTAAAAGATTCAGCATTAGAATAGGTTAAAGGTAGCCAATCTGTATTTAATCCTTTGAGCGGCCCGGGTTTTTGAATCTGTCATGAAGACCTGTATTTAGAGAGCCTTTATTAGCTAAATATGTATATTTACCTATTTTAGTCTCTATTTTCACAAATTTACATTCCTCAAAATTGAATTTATATTATTAATGAAAGTAAGAAAGCAAAATATCTTAAATTATGAACTAATATATAACAACTGAAAACAAAATCTCATGACCAGATAAAGCCGGTCATGGCACTCAGAGAGTTAATGTACTTCAAGTATGTGCACCAGAAAATTATTTGAATTTCTGCTTTTCCTAATAGCATTTCATCATTTGAAAACTCAAAATTATTATCTTCGTGTGCACTTACTCAGGTTCATTTTCCAATGAGACAAAATTATTAAGAGACTGCAGACTTTATATATTTTACATCAAAATTTTGTTTACAATTTCTGCAATTTGATTGTGCTGTTTTGCACAAATATGAAATTATTGTTCAAGAGACGAAAGGAAAATTTAGTATTTTAAAAGTTTTGAATGCATGAATTTTGTGAGTATTTTTTTTTTATAGTATTTCGGAATGCATTTTTTATTGCTTTAAAATATCATTATCATAGTTTACATCACGGTTTCTTAAACTTTTTCCAGTCCCGACCCCCTTTTATCAGTGAGATTTTTTAACAACCCTACAATATTTACAAAAATTTTGCGGGACCCCATAAGTATTGCGCAAATCCGACACACATGTGAGTAAACCTGTCAATTTCTTCACTTGTACTGTAATATACTATTGCAGTTTTAGGTATTTAACTTCAATTTCTAATTTTAAGACATAGAACAATGTAAAAATTTTAAATAAGTAACAGACGAAATGATAGTGTCACGTGCAAAGCAAGGAAAACAAACGTTTATATTATAAAAAGAATGCGTCAAAATATTTTCCTTTTTCTTTGTCTGTATTGTCTTTTCTTTATCTACTTTCAGATACATTAGGTAAACACATTTGGTAATTGTAAAATTATTATAATACGTTAAAGAAATATCAAAACTGCTACAAGTTTTGGTGACCCACAGTTTTGAAACCCTGGTTTACACTAAACATTTTTCTTGGTCATGAAATAGATAATTTGGCCATTCATGAATGTACCGTATATGCTCACGTAATGTCTGCACCTTTTTTTACTGAAATTACATCACTAAAATGCAGATCCAGACATTACACGGGTTGTTCAAGTGTTGTGTTTTTTCTCGTGAGTAGTTATGGGTTAAGTTTCATTTCAAACAGCCAAGTTAAGTTCTAAGTGGAAGAAAATGGCATAAGTAATAAAGGTATCAAATTTGAAGTTGTCTAATAGCTACCTAAAGTTTACAAACTCGCTTTCTCCCATCTACGTATATAATATAAATTGAACCGTTTACGTTATCAACACTCGACAAGTATTAGTTCGCACAGAAGCACAGTGTAGAGATACAAATTAACCAACACTTGCAATTTTAATATCTAGTTTTACACAAATTAAATAAACGTTGGTTCTTTTAATAGCTTGCACACATTATTTTAAAACAAAATCTGTTCTGATGCACTGTATGAAAATCCATTTTGTTTCATCATTTGCCGCAAAACCAGCCTTAATTTGCTTTGAATTGCGATGCAGAAATGTCCCCTTTTCATGTTGCAGCAAGTGCTCTTATTTGGCACATTTCCAGTGTTACTGCGTACCCTTGAGCACGTTTATCACGGACATATGCAACTACTTTCTTCTCTGTTTGTAAACTTACATTTCAAACCACAAAACACACGTTTTGTTTTGTTTGCTGCCACCAGTTGATAATG